TAGAGGAAAGATATCCTAACTCAGAATAAATTCCTTCCCATGACCTATGAGCTTCTTCCTCTGACCTCATCTTGTGCTACTCTCTCACTTGTTTACTAGACTCTGTCATACTGGCCTCCTTTCCAAATCCTTCATTCAGCAACTATGCTCCCAACTTGGGACTGTTGCACTTGCGGGACTCCCTGTTCCCTGTGGTCTTTCTGTAGATGACAGAGTGGCCTCCCTCTGAACTTCATTCATCTCTGTTTAGATGTCTGATCATTAGAGAGGCCATCCCGAAAATACCACCCCTTCCTCAAACCATCACTCTATTATCCCCTTACCCTGCTTTTATTTTCCTTCTATCACTTAGCCCAGATACCCCATCACATGCTTATTTTCTACTTGGCAGGCATACCTCCCTCCTAGAATATAAAATTCATGTGGAAAGCGACTGTCGTGTTCACAGTGAGAACAGTGTGTGGCATAAAGCAGATCCTCAGCAAATATTTATTGACTGAAGAGGTCTATTAGAACAAATACATGCTTCCACAGGTCATTCAGAAATTGTATTTAGACCTCAACTCATAACACTTGACTTTCTTGTTCTTTCATCAGGACCGTTTTATCCTGCCTGCCTGATAACAAAATTGCAATTCATTTTAGTTATACTATTATTTAAGTTCAAATTGCCTGGCCAAGCACTATGACTTTTCCTGACTCACATACAAAAATAAAAAATGCTTACTCCCATATACATTTTACATTATAATTTGCATTAAATATACTACTCTTTATTTCATTTATATTTATGATATATAAATTAAATTAACTTTAAAAATAAATGCATTTGAGTTATTCCACTATTAGAACATATTGCCAAGATTATGTCACAATGCATGACAGCTTAAGCTGAAAATAACAGAAAATAAACATATTAAAATAAGACCATGCCCTGTAATACTGGATTAACACCCAAGAACACTGTCTCATTGTAGCTAGCAATTATAATCTTTTACTTTCTGCTTCACTGTGTACAGTATATCTTTTATTCAATTCATCTGATTTGTTGATGGACTGGACAAAGTCCAATTAAATATGACATTACTATAAAACAGTGAGAAGGAAAATATCATTTTATGCAATCAGCCTGAAAGGTATGAAGGCAATGGCTTTACTTTACTCATTTATCCACCACTACTATGATCTCAAGTAAAAACAATTCAAATTAAATTGTGTTACCTTAGAGTCTATAAAACGTTATTAATTGTATATGATTTTTAGCCCACAGATTTATTCATAACATAGGTTATTCTTTAACATAATCACAGCTTTTATCCTAACTTAAAAAGATTAAGTATCATGCAAATGTGAGACATGGTCATTTACACATTCTCTCAGCCCTCTTTCATTTCTACCTACAGTTCTAGTCAGGGATCTAAGTAAAATATATACGTGTGCATATTTTGTGATTTTATGTGGAATTTTCTTAGAAATTGTTATTCATACAAAAATTTAAAGAATATTTTTTACTTTTAAATCTATTATTTAAAATATTAACAAATTTATTGAATCATTTCCCTGAGTATCCGTATTTAGAAAACATTAGCCGCCCAACTGTTATAATTTACTTAGCCTCAGATTTTTGATAGTATTAATCCTTCCACATCACTCTGAATGTTATACATGGTCTTTGTTCTGTTTTACCTGTTAATGTCTTGTGCTTTATATTCCCTGACTCTGTATTTCCTAGCTTTCACAACCCTCAAATTTTGTTCTTTTGTGGAAGATGAACAATAGAACAAAACTATGAGTTCTTTAAAATAGGTTTTAAAGAACTATTTTTAAAAAATGTGCAGTTATACAATACTGTGGCAATATAAGAATAACAGATTAGATGAATATGAAGAAAAGAGAAGTGTGCTTATGTGACAAGACATTCAAGATATACGGTTAAGTGAAAAAAAGCAAGTCTCAGAACAAAATGTATAGTATGTTTCCATCTCTATATAAAAATAACATACGTGTATGTATCTTTGTAATATATCAATACATATTAATATATCTATATCTATCTACCTACCTATAATTTCTGTAATCATGCGCACACAGAAAAATTGCTATCCACCATTATCCCTGGAGAAAAAGAGTAGAAGTTGGGCAAGAAAGACTTTCACTTTCACTTTATTCTTGTCTGTTCTGTAATGTTTAAACTTTTAAATCAAACTTTTGTGAGAAAAAAGTTTATTAAAAACCTTAAAATATCTATAACTTTTGAACAAAAATTAGGCTTACTGAAATGTGTATTAAGAAAATGTTTATAAATTTGAAATAATTTTAGCAATAAGACACTCACTAAAGTACTAATAGCAAGAGTGAAAGTAAGAAAAAATATAAATGTCCAACTATAAGGAAATGGCTAAATTATGAGAAAACCACAGAATGGCATAACATACAGAGGTTAAATATGTTCATAAAGATTAAAGATGTGAAAAATGATCATGGTCTAATGTTAAGATATAAAGCAGGATATATTTTACAAAATATGAAAACAAAACTTTGTAAATCCTAAGTTTACAAATAAAAATCCTGACCAAATGTTAAAAGGGATCTTTTTGTGTGTGATAAACCTATGAGTAATTTTTCAAAATTACTTTTCTCTACTGTCTAAATGTCATTCCACATGTATTGTTAATTAAAAATTAATAATAGCACATATATCACAGCTTAACAAAGATAAACAGTCCCAAACCTTGCCATCTTGTGTTGAATCCACCTTAATAAAAAGATAACGAAATGTTTTAAAATTATAGATGTTATCAAGTTAAGAATATGGTTTCCCAATATATTTGAGAAAAGTAATAAGCCAATACACTTTTCATTTCACAAACTCAGAGAAAAACAAAAACTACTGTTTTCCAGGTGACATGATCATAGTGCCACATTTCTGATATTCTACAGCCTAATTATGACCCTCATTATGTATATTCTACTTTACAAAAAGATGTCTACTTGCACAAATTCAGGTAAACAATCTAGTTTTTTGAAGTGAAAATTTAAAAAATGAAAATAATGTTAGTGTTTCTATTGACCTTTAACACCTCTATCTTTTTGATTAGTAGTTTGTCATCTTGTACACATTTTCTAGATGACACCTTATATGTATGAAAATTTCATAATGAAATTCAAGATCAAAGATTTGAATTATTTTATTAAAGAGTTTCAAATATATTGGAGCTAGAATCTTGATTTATATATGACAAAAATTCTTTTGAAGATGTTCAGGGTCTTTGAATTATAATTCTAGGGCAGGGGTTGATGAATTTTATCTCTAAAGTCCCAGTTTGTAAATTCTTAGGATTTTGTGGGTTATTTAACAATACAAAAATCATTCTTGGCTTTCAGGTTATTTAGAAAACAAGACAAAACAGTAATGGTTCAGATTTGGCCCCAGGGCCAAAGTTTGTCAAACTCTGTTCTAAAGTTATTTTTGGTAACTTATTCAAAGGTCATATGCATTGCTATACTCCACTATCTAAAACACCTTTACCCTCCTGTATCCCACCTTCAAAATTGTATTTAACCTTTACAGTCTCTCAAATATGTTCTTCATGAAAACTTTCAAGGTGTCTTTAACAAACAGGACTTCTCTTCCTTTGAAGCCACATAGCATTTTGTAACTCCTCTATTTTACATAGGACTACTAACCTTTGTCCGGTGCTGTGCCAAGGCTTCCACTCAGCATGTTATGGGAGTACCCCTCTCTTACACATTTTTTATTGACTATGGTGCCTTGTGCATAGTAGAAGATTAATAATATTGGTTGAAGTGATAGATAACTATTCGACATCTTCAATTCCTAGAAGGAGACTTCAGTGGTTTAATAGTAGTTTTTAAGGGCCTAAAAGTAATATAGACACCAAAAATATTCATATGTTTTTAAAATGCAGCTGAATTTTAGAAATATTAAAATGTGAAAACAAATTTTGTCTTAAAATCAAGAAGAATGGCTCCTGGATTGACAGGGGAGACAGATGAGAGAGAGCAACAAAAGGACTGTGAACCAGTTCCAGGGCACAGAAGGTTATGTGAGAGGCAAGCGTCAGGCAGGTACAATCCAGCTGTCCACAGGATACCCCTCAGCCCTTTCACTCTGCTCCTCAAGGTGAGAAAAGCATCAGACCTTCCATGTGTCTAAGGTCTGGGGCCTGATTATCCAGACACTCCTTACCCTTTCCATGTCAAATGAACAATCTTACACACTCAGGATCCCCAGGGATCAGAAAGTAACTCAGTTTCAGAGAAGAACTCAAAGGCAAGTTTGGAATCTTGTAAGAAAATTTTACACTATTATCTAAATCTAAATTCATATTACACAGACGCGATAGGCAATATTTAGAAGTTCTGGAACAACTCTGCCTGAATTCATATCCTAGGAATGCCTCTTTTAGCTGTGTAATCCTTGGTAACTTATTTAACCTTTTGAAGCCACATTTTATTTTTCATCTGTAAAAAAGAGATGATGATAATAGAATGTAACTTAGAGGGCGATTGGGTTTTTGTGAGGATGTGATGAGTTAATATATCTAAGTGTTTAGAACCTTGCCTAGAACATAGTAAGCACCTATTAACATTAGCTATATATCTCAAAATCCATACATAGCTAAAAGCAAATAGTATTTCCACTAATAAATAACTTCTAAAAGCCACACACATCCTTGCCTTCAAACACATATTGTGCTTTATTTCATTCTTGAAGTGAAATTCCCATAGGAGGGAATTTACTGAAAATAAGAAACAGGCTGGATAGAAATTATCAAGTAATTTTTTAAGTGCAGGAGAAGGCAAACAGCAAACTGAAAATACATGTATGATTATGTGACAAAGAGAGACACAGGAAAAATCTTGAATCCCTGAAGCATTATCACAATAGTATTTCCCAAGCTTTGGCGTAATGCAATGACCAAAATCAGCTTCCATGCATGAGCACGATGGCAGCTCAACTTAACGGCCATACTTACCACCTTCCTCCACCCCAGGGAGACCTGCCTTTTTGTCCTTCACCTGAGCAGTGCTTTCTTCCCAAAGCTTACTTTTATCCTTTTCCTTTTCTTCTGCAGAAACATGTTTTCCGGACTTCTCAGATAAACCCTCTGCAATCCCTTGGGTTCCTTTCTCCGTTCCTTCTTTAAGAACATTCTCAAAGCTTTCCTCTATTGGCATTGGCTTGGCCTCCACATCTGCTTTTGTTATTTCTTGGTCTTCAATTTCAATGTCTAAGGATTCCTCAATTGGAAGGTGGGACTTTCTTGGCTCATCATTTTCACTTAGCTCCTGAGAAGATGAACTTCTGGCACTTTCCTCTGTGCTGCTGTCAGCATGGGCTTCCCTGTCCCCCACTGCAGATTCATCCTCACTGTCACTAGAATAAGGGTGACTTCTGGATGAGGTTGATGAAGCAGTTTTCATATCTACAAAAAAATACAAGTGATGACATTGTTGTTCTTCCATAAAGCAACTGGTTTAATTGTGAAAATTATGTTAGCAATTAATCATACTAAAAATTTTAAAATACAGTTTAGTACAGACTTGATATCCTTTTCCCATATAGTCTACTTAGCGGTCCGCAACCTTTTTTATACCGGGGATTGGTTTCATAGAAGACAATTTTTCCACGGACTGGGGTTGAGCGGGGATGGTTTTGGGATGATTCAAGTGCATTGCATTTATTGTGCACTTTATTTCTATTATTATTACATTGTAATATATAATGAAGTAATTATACAACTGACAATAATGTAGAATTAGTGGGAGCCCTGAGCTTGTTTTCCTGCATCTAGACAGTCTGATTTGGAGATAATGCGAGACAGTGGCAGACCATCAGGCATTAGATTTTCATAAGGGGCTCACAACCTAGAACCCTGGTATGCACAGTTTGCAATAGGGTTTCTGCTCCTATGAGGATCGAATGCTTCCACTGATCTAACAGGAGATGGACCTCGGGCAGTAACGCCAGCAATGGGGAATGGGCAGTGGCTGTAAATACAGATGAAGCTTCACTGGCTTCCCCACCACTCACCTCCTGCTGTGCAGTCTGGTTCCTATTAGGCCATGGACCTTGTAGCAGTCCATGGCCCGGGGATTAGATCCCTGGTCTAAATCATTGTTAGGATACAGAAAACTTACCGAATCGATGGAATATATGAGTATATAGAAATTTTCAAAAGATCACATTTAACTATCAACCATTCCTGTTTTTTGTTGTTGTTTTTAGAAAGCCATTTTATTGACAAACCTTTGTAAATATCCACTTCGTTAAAGAAAAAATAATAATCCTTTGTCTCTTCAACAAAAGCTTTATTTATTTATTTCCTTCTATCACCACAGTGTTCCGTGTGCATGAAACTTAAATTTTTATCTACCATACCATTCATCATCCTAGTATATCTTGGTATCTGGACACAGTAATATCTGTGTATTTGCCCAGTAAGTAGACAAATATATGTAGGTTACACTTGCATGTGTGTGTGTGCATAGATGGAGATTTTATCTTATTTTGAGCTCTGCAGAAGCAGAAGCTGAGATGAAGATTCATGTGCGAGAAATGTATTAAAGATGTGCTTCAGGAGCACTCTTAAGGGAGTGGGGGAAGCAAAGGAAGGAAGGGCAGAAATCAATCAAGAGAGCTATTTCAAGCCCCATCTCAACCTCAACCTGATCCCATGGGCACTTCTGAAGTGTAAGCTATATTAGGATGTAATTTATATTAGGCAGGAGCTGGGCTTTCATACTTTGGAAAAGTCAGACATTGGCTATGGGCCTCCCTAGGGGGATGTAAACTCTCTGGCATTTCCAGGCTCTTTGAGTCTGAGGGTGAAGCACCTCCAGTAGTCAGGACAGTCCTCTGAAAAAGGTGAAGGGAGCAGAAGATGGGCAATGGGTGAACAAAGTTGGTGAGAGATTCTGGGACATCTAGGCAGTTCGACGACAGGGTGCTGCAGATATGCAGTCTAGAAACTTACGGTAGCCACAACTGGTTTATGTAATACCTAAAAAGGTTTTAACAATTTCCAATAAAGTACCATACACACTGAATCTCAATAAGGAAGCTGAACAGCATAACAAATCACTGCATACATTGCTATAGGCCAGAGAAATACAATCTTGCTTTTCTAACCAATAGGTCTATGTTTGTAATTGTTTTTTCATAAATATACTTTCAAATAAAATATCCTACATTTAAATGCTGCCTATTTTTTTGTCTTCTCTGTACTCCTCACTGTTTTTTCTGTTTCTTTATTTCTTTCAGTTCCATGTGGCAGCTGCACCAATAGCTGTAGCAGCTAGTGCAGAGTTTAAGAGAAGAAATAACTGTCTTTGCTCTTATCCTCTTCTCTCCAAGCCTCCAGTCCTGCCGGCTCTCCATGACAGGTCTTAGCATTTTAAATACAGTCTCAGAGACATATCAGAGTTTCCACAAAGATTTGAGAGATGCTACACAGCAGTAAAAAACAAACTCAAAAAGCCTTTAAGCAACAGAGCCCCTAAGTCTAATTCCATTTGCTTTTATCTCCTGATACCTTGACAAACACCAGATGACCGCTATTTTTCAAATAAATCATACACTCTAGCTACTCATTCTTTATTCTCCATTTTATAAAATTGGCTATGCCGTGTCCCCGGTAGAAAATGTAGCAGATCAAGGAGAGTTCTTCCCCATCTTATTTGTATCTGTTCAGAAACTTTAGGTTCTCTGAACTCCCCTTTCCCTTCGGAGTCTTATGTTTCTTCTTTCAAAAAGAACATCAATTCTGGTTTATTAGCAGTTTAACCGATGGCTTTCATTAATTACATAGTTAGCTAGGACTCAATGTTATACTCGTTTGGAACTCCAAAAATATATCTACTATCTGAATATGGAAATGATGACTCCTACTTTTGGCTCTGAGAGTTGGTCATATAATTTTTAAAATGAGTGCTCCTCTGACTTTCTTTAGTAGCTTCCATTAATTGTATTATTTCATTTCAAAGGGCTGAAATATACTCTGGTTCAAGTTTGAGTCAGTCCTTCAGAGAAGAAAGATCAGGAGAATGAATGGCCTCCAAGTGGCCAGGGCACCTGACCTCCCATACAAACTCATTTCAGTTTTCAAATTTCTTCCTAACCTCATGCTATAATTTAGTTTCACTCTCATTTCTTTCTGTCATTTACATACACAGACACTGGGGTAAGACTTTGCCTATAAAAAAGTTAAAAAAGCTTCAGGGTTATGGAATAGGATTTTCAAAACTATTTTTATTTATTCTCTTAGAAATAAAGCAAATGCTTATATTAAAAAAAAAACTTTCAGAACACATATGTAAATTCGCTTTGTCATTAGGAGGGAAAAATTATCTTGCAAGCATGTTGATAAACAGCTATGCCTCCTACCCAATTCCATTTGTTCGTGTATTCCCTTCTGGTAGTGATGCTGTAAGAACCTGCTTTTGCTTGTTTTGGCAAAGGAAAGATCTGCACTCATTGCCTGAGGTCTTGGCCGAAGCCAGCAAGTTTGGTGCCATGTTCCATGTCCTAAGCAAGATCTTTGAGTTTTCTCTTTCCACAGTCAGGAGCTCTCCAGACCCTTCTTCCCTTTTCATGTCATTGATAATTGTTTCTTTCTTTCTTTTTTGGCATCACTATAATTAAAATCTTGTTTGACACAGCACGAGGTTGAGAGAAAATGACATATTCTTCTGTACGACAAATCCTGGTGTCCCAGTCACAGCTCAGCTACTTAATAATTTCTACTTTGGTTATGCTATTTAACTTATCTAAGCCTCTGTTTTCTTTTTTCTTTCTTTCTTTCTTTTTTTTTTTTTTTTTTTGAGACGGAGTCTGGCTCTGTCGCCCAGGCTGGAATGCAGTGACCGGATCTCCGCTCACTGCAAGCTCCGCCTCCCGGGTTCACGCCATTCTCCTGCCTCAGCCTCCGGAGTAGCTGGGACTACAGGCGCCTGCCACCTCGCCCGGCTGGTTTTTTGTATTTTTTAGTAGAGACGGGGTTTCACCGTGTTGGTCAGGATGGTCTCGATCTCCTGACCTCGTGATGCCTCTGTTTTCTTAACTGTAAAATGGGGATAATTCTACTTGTTCTCCTTACAAAATTGTAGAAATTACACGAGAAAAATATTTAATCTAATCAAATGAAATAATTATCTTTATAGTCTTTTTTCCTCTGTGATGTCATACATGTAGTATATTCTAATAAATTTCTCTCTTGTAGTTTCGTTTTTGTGATATTGAGTGATATCACAGCTACCATGATAAAGATAAAACTAATCATGATTATGCACCTACTGTAAACCAAACCATGAAATAGCACTTTACAAACATCTCACTTAATCCTATGGAATAATAATTATCTTCTATTTTGAGATCCAGAAAGAGGGGTCCAAAGAGGTTCAATAGTACCCAATGTCCATTAGCTAGTAAGTAGAAAGTTTTTGTAAATGCTTATTTTGTAACGATACACTGCAATAAAACCAAGACCCTTCTATTTGCTAAAAGGCTTTGGGACAGGAAGTACTCACAGCCACGGACCCGCCATTGCTCCTCTTAGCTAACTTTCCTCTGTTACCACTCAAGACTGACAGACAGGAAATTGTTCTCTTTCAAAAATCAGAACTCATGAAATGTGTAGTTTGTCCTCGCATTTTATCTCTATTGGTCATTATTAATTTTGTCCACCACTCTAGAGCACAAACTCCATTTAAAATATTCCGAGGCACAGAATATGAATACAAAGCAAAAGCAAAAGGTAGCAATCAAAGTCTTCCCTAGTTTATTTATAACATTGATCATGATGCTATTTTATGAAACTATACATGTTATTCAGTTATTTACAAATAACTATGGAACACTGTGGGGACACTCACAAAAATGGTGTGTGTGTGTGTGCGCGTGCGTGTGTATGCTTTGTATGCCAGCAATCCTCACTGTTTATACTGTCTGATTGCTAGCTTGATACAACTGACCAAGGGCACCAGCCACACACACATCCAAAGTCAACACCAGTCCAGCAAATCCAGGATAAAGTCTGCTCTCCCTCCTCATAACTGAGGTTCTGAGTTGTCCTTCACTTTCCTTCCAACTTACATAGATTCATTTGTCCACTAAATATATATTGAGAACTTCCTATGTGCCAGACAATGTTCTACAAGAAAACAGAAGCCTTGGTCCTTGCTTCTACCTATAATATACACTCAAAACAGAGACTGACTAATTATCCACCTCCTTTCGCATGAGGGCAATAGATCCACTGCACATGTTCATAAAGATATTGGTTCACTCTAACAGTGACTGCGGATAACTCTCTCAGAAACTATTGCCACACTCTTATTGCAATCAGTAGCCAAATTGTTTTAAACCAATGACAAGACCTGACCTCAGTTTTCAATCACTGTCTCACCTGCTAGCAAGCAGCATACT